GATAAGTCGGAATTTTTAAGAAAGGAAACTAACTTTTTCGGTCATGTGGTTTCATCGGAGGGGATAAAACCTAACCCTGAAAAAATAAAAGCTATACAAAATTTCCCTGTACCGAAAAATCCTAAACAAATTAAATCCTTTCTTGGCCTTAGTGGGTATTACAGAAAATTTATTCCCAATTATGCGAAACACGCAAAACCTTTGACGTTATTATTAAAAAAGAATGAACCTTTTAATTGGAATAACGACTGTCAAGATTCATTTAAAAAATTAAAAGATTGTCTTTCAACACCACCAATCTTACAATACCCAAATTTCAATGAGTCTTTCATTTTAACTACAGACGCCTCTAAATTTGCGATAGGTGCTATACTTTCCCAGGGACCATTAAAAAAGGATTTACCTATAGCTTATGCTTCGAGGACTCTGAATCCAGCAGAAACCCGGTATAGTACAATCGAACGTGAATTGCTTGCCATTGTTTGGGCGGTTAAACACTTTCGTCCATATTTATACGGGAAAAATTTTACTGTAATTACGGACCATCAACCACTAAAATGACTTTTTTCCGTAAAAGATGATAGTTCGCGACTAGTGCGTTGGCGTCTTAAACTCGAAGAGTATGAATACGAGGTATTATATAAGCCAGATAAAACCAACACAAACGCCGATGCGCTTTCTCGAATTTATGTCACTGAAGGTAAAAAACAATTAAGCGAAAATATAAATGACAATAGTCTTGAGCAAATGATGAGCCCTAGTACGGAAGAACAACTAATAGCAGAGTTAGGTGAATATGTTTCTGTAGCGTTCGATAACAATGACACTGTAAATCAGGTACTGAATGATAATTTAGTAAATACAAATAACAAAATAGAAATAGTTAATGAGATTCCACCTGATACGGAAGTGATTATCTTTCATATTCGAAATAATGAAACGAAGATAAATACAATATTATTAGATACTAATGTAGACAAGATAGAAAATTCTATAGAAATTACGTTTTCCCGTTCAGGAACTTATCACTATATTTTTGAACTTAGGGAAAATATTTTAAACATTCTATCTTTGTTTCCCTCAGAAAATTTATTGGTTGTAATGGAAGATGATTTTTGTATTAACAATTTAAACGAGTTATTAGTTACAAATGATTTACAAAATAGGAAAATTTATCTTATAAAAAAGTTCCCAGCTATAATTGAGAAACACCTTAAATATAAAACAATAAAAAATTACCACGAATCACCAACTAATGCTCATAAGGGTATTAACGAAACTTATCTAAAATTAAAAGATACATACTTTTGGCCTAATTTAAAGCAGGATGTATCAGATGTGGTAAACTGTTGCGAATTTTGCAAACGAAATAAGATAGATAGATTAAATCATAATATACCTATGATCATAACACAAACACCGAATACCATATTTGATCGTGTTGATATAGATGTATGTACAATAAAAGGTGGTTCAAATAAAAGAAATTGTGTAGTATTTCAAGACCAACTTTCTAAATTTATTCAACTTTATCCTAGTGTAGAGCCCGTTAATGGTGAATTTGTTAGGGACAAATTGTTTCAATTTGCTTCAGCTATTTCTTTTCCTAAACGGATCCACTCGGATTCTGGTGCTGAATTTGTTAATAAGACTATTTCAAAATGGTTGGTCGATTTAAAAATTAAACACACTAGATCGGCTGTATATCACCCTAAATCTAACGGCGCAATTGAGAGGGCGATCGCTACAATAAAAGAAACAGGCAATACCCTTTACGACCAATATAAAAAGAAAATACCGTTTGAGTGTTTATTACAAGTGGCAGTTCATTCATACAATACATCGGTAAATTCAACAACTAAGTTTACACCTTTCGAACTTTTGTTTGGAATTAAACCTCCTAATTTGCTTGTTGAGTCTGAAGAAAATCGGAACGAGGGCGATAAAGCTGATTTGGTAGAAAGGTTACGAAAAGAAGCAAAATTGAATCAAAATGAATCAAAAAACAAATCAAAAGTAAGACATGATAGGAGTGCTTCCAAAATAATACCTACAGATTAATGATAAGGGGTTTATAAAAAAATTAATCGGTAGGAAGTTTAAATGGGACGGTCCTTATCCTATTGTTGACATAATTAATGACAGAAATTACAAAGTTCGTACAAAAAATACTAGGGAACCGATACAAACTATTAATATAGAACAGTTACGCTTACTAAAACAGATTAAATTATATTTAATCAGCTGAAGGACAGGGAATTGCTGTTTGAACCAACAGTAAATAATATTTCAAAATTTTTACAGATATGTACGTCNACAAACACCGAATACCATATTTGATCGTGTTGATATAGATGTATGTACAATAAAAGGTGGTTCAAATAAAAGAAATTGTCTAGTATTTTAGGACCAACTCTCTAAATTTATTCAACTTTATCCTAGTGTAGAACCCGTTAATGGTGAATTTGTTAGGGACAAATTGTTTCAATTTGCTTCAGCTTTTTCTTTTCCTAAACGGATCCACTCGGACTCTGGTTCTGAATTTGTTAACAAGACTGTTTCAAAATGGTTGGTAGATTTAAAAATTAAACACACTAAATCGGCTATATATCACCCTAAATCTAACGGCGCAATTGAGAGGGCGATCGCTACAATAAAAGAAACAGGCAGTACTCTTTACGACCAATACAAAAAGAAAATACCATTTGAGTGTTTATTACAAATGGCAGTTCATTCATACAATACATCGGTAAATTCAACAACTAAGTTTACACCTTTCGAACTTTTGTTTGGAATTAAACCTCCTAATTTGCTTGTTGAGTCTGAAGAAAATCGGAACGAGGGCGATAAAGCTGATTTGGTAGAAAGGTTACGAAAAGAAGCAATGTTGAATCAAAATAAATCAAAAAACAAATCAAAAGTAAGACATGATAGGAGTGCTTCCAAAATAATACCTAAACTACAGATTAATGATAAGGTTTTTACAAAAAAAATTAATCGGTAGGAAGTTTAAATGGGACGGTCCTATCCTATTGTTGACATAATTAATGACAGAAATTACAAGGTTCGTACAAAAAATACTAGGGAACCGATACAAACTATTAATATAGAACAGTTACGCTTACTAAAACAAATTAAATTATTGCAGGTCGCTGACTGCTATTTCCATAGCGGACCCCATTCACGTGGAAGAAATTAATTCTAATGTAGGTCTGTATGCCCAACCTCCGGGATTATTGCGCGAGATAAGCTCAGAATAGACAGTAATAATAATAAAAGATACTAATCCCCTTTTTGAAACAATATCACAGACTCGCATTTTATTGTCAAAATTGAAAAACATAGAAACTAATATGGACATTCACTTCAGCCATACTGTACTATTATAAGCTAGTTTAGATAGTTTAGAAAGAGATTTGAATGTAGCCAAATCCACGTTTCCGTTGTCACGGAGAAAACGCGGTTGGTTTAACATTTTTGGTTCTGGTCTCCATACCCTGTTTGGTGTTATGGATGCAAACGATGAGATTAGAATAGGAGAAATTTTGGACAAAGTTCAAAGTACAAACAAGAAAACGTTATCTTTCGTTGATGAATCTCTAATATCATTAAGGACACAATACGCGATTTTAACGAAACTTTTGGCTCACTTCACATCAATGAAAGGATCATCAATAAAAATTTTGATACAGTTTCAAATCAACTAAAAAACAATACATTATAATTTAATAAGACTGAAAAACGGGTGAAAACCTTAAATCTTGCGTTTGTATGATCGGCTGATGGCACCCTTGGTGGAAGAGACGGCAATAAGATAAATCGATGGCTTCTGTTACTGACAACCCCTTTTTTTATGTTTTCGTGGAAGAGGGGAAATCTTCAGAAGACACCCAGCCGTCCGTACGCCTGGGTAGTGTCGGATTCTCGAGGAAGAAGTCCTCGGACCTACCGACTAAAACCCCTCTACCTCAGGCCGTTCTAGGACCAACTAGGGTCCTCTCCAGCCGGTGTGATGTGGTTATGGTTTGACTTGTTCAGGTGTGTGTGTGTGTGTGTGTGTGTGTGTGTGTGTGCGCGCGCGCGCGCGCGCGCATCAGGAGGAGTTAATGTTAAATCGTCATCGTCTGGAACAATTAGAAAACAAAGTTCATTCCAAAAAAACGCAATCCTTTTTGTCTATTTCATCATCCGGCTGGTTTTTATCCCTTGTGACAGTTATTGGAAGTTTGTTAATGGAACTTTGCTGTTGCTTTTGCTGCTGTCCCGATTGCCTTCGCCTTATCAAACCAAAATTTGGAGGATGTGATTGCAGCAGAATATTGAATATTAATAGACCGACGACCTTGGTTCAAGGTAGACCAAGCTATCGTGAACCTGGTGTTATCTATTCTACATTGGAACCTGCTCTGACAAATGTGATGGAAATTGACTAGACTTTTCAAACACCAATTCAAACAGGCTTCCAATCCATGGTCACCAAAGTGGTTTAGGAAGGACTGAATGTGATTAGTTTTAAATTAGTCTTACAATTAGTGGTATATAATGTCTAGTAGTAAATAAGATTTTTAAATTTTCATTATTTTAATTAAAAGAAAATCATAATGAAAATTCTTTTGCGGGGAGGAATGTAATATACTCTTCTTCATAGGTATCTTTGTATTGTTATCCATATTTATTTAGATAATAAATCACTATATATTAGGGATCACAATGAGACCAAGGCAAGTTATTTATGCTGTCATTCTGTCGGTTGTAACTTCAAAATAAATAATAAATTAACGTTTCTTCGTTTTTCTTGAAAGCTTAACATCGTCATTCTTATAGAAAGATTTAGTGTTAGCTAATTAAAAGAAAAATAAAGTTAAATAACTTTTGGTTCAACAACTACCAAATAAAATTTAGTTGTCGTGCGTTACTGGGAACCCGAAAAACCAGGACGTAACAGTACACACATGAACTTGTGCAGTACACAGTATGTATATATTATATGCATAATATTTTTTTACTGTATTTGCTCCTCACGTAAACAGTATTCAGTACTTCCACCCTCCTTTCTTTTTGTAAATGACAATTGACAATGCGTTTGTCTATTTTTTTACATATTCTACTACTATTTATGCATGCACCACTTGTTCATAATATTTAATTTTTTGTACTTCTTTACTTATCTTTTTCAAAATTTTATTTCCTGCTTTCTTCTTATGAATGACAAATGATAACATTCAATTTTATGTTTTCACATTTTTCAAATATTCTCATTGGTAACTACATACAATTCCTATTTTTCTGTTTACGCGCTTCGCGGTGGCGGACGCGACTTTTGAACTTTTACATGTGGTACTTCCCGATTTCTCCTCCAATGAAAGGCATTACAAATCATTATTACTATCGTTACCAATTTTAATAAAAACTTCTTTTGAACGTAGACAACCCTGATCACTCCAATATAAATAAAAATTATGCCCTCCTTGGTTAACTTCAGAAATTATCCGTGAAGTTAAAGTAAAGAAAGCATTACAGCATATTTACAAATCCACTTTATCAACAGATGCTTACCAAGAGTTTAGGGCACAAAGATCACTATGTGACAGGTTAAGTAAAGCGGCGATAAATATTTATAATCACAAAATTGAATATATTGCGACAACCTCAGCAATTCTGGTCAAATGTGACTTGTGGCAAAGCAAGAGGTTCCTGCTGAAGCAATGGCGATGAATGGAATGGCAGATACGCAGAGAGTGACTCGGATGTAGCTAATTTATTTGCTAAATTTTTTCCACCAAATTTCTGGCAGATGACTCATTCACATATAACGGGTATCACGGTATAACTGATAGCAAAATCGAACTTAAAAACTTTACTATTGACCGGGCCACTGTTCTGCTTCATCTGTCTTCCATAAAAATGACCCTAGGTGCAGGCCCAGATCGTATTCCTCCTATTTTCATAATAAATTCTGCCATTGCTCTCGCTCGTCCTTTGTTTCAAATATTTAACAGATCATTGCATGACTCTTTTTTTCCGTCAATTTGGAAACTCCAGATTATAACACCAATCTTCAAAAGCGGTTTAAAATCAGATGTAACAAATTACAGGCCAATAAGTAAGGTTTCAGTTTTTGCGAAAATTTTTCGACAAAATAATAAATGACTCGCTCCAAAAATTAACTCCAAACAGTACGGTTTCTTTCAAGGACGCTCAGTGGTGTCCAACTTGGCCTCACACTTATATTACGGATGCCTTTAAAGATAATATAAGTTTTGACACCGTTTATACTGATTTTTCATCCGCTTTCGACTTTGTAAATCACAATTTACTTTTGTTGTAATTAAGAGATTATGGTGTTATTGGTGAAGCACTGAAATGGATACAATCTTATCTATCGTTGCGTCAATTTACTGTAAAAATTAACAATGACTTATCACCTAACATGGACATAAAGAGTGGTGTACCACAGGGTTCGCATTGGGGTGCACTCCTCTTCATTATATTTGTAAATAATCTGTTTCTTGTAGTGAAGCATGCGGTTGCGAGAATGTATGCTGTCGATCTGAAATTGTCACTAAAAATAGCTAACGATTCAGATCGCTCCCACCTACAATCCGACCTAGATAGCGTGGTACAGCGGCTAAGCAAGAACCAACGGCACCTCTCTCAGTAGACCAACAGTTGTCAAAGATTTGGGTGTAACCTTTGACAATGGCTTGAATTTTGATAAACATGTTGATTACGCAACCAATAAAGCTACCAGAATACTATTCTCAGTGTTGCGAAATTCTAAATCTAAAAAAAATCCCCAAAACTTTTTGTCTTCTTTACAACACTTATGTTAAATCTGTGTTGTGTTTTGCTTCAGTAATCTGGTGGCCGAAAACGAATACTACCTTTGATTTTCTCGAATGCATACAACATGGGTTCTTACGACTTATTGCTGCGAGAACTGGAAAACCTATGAGTACTTTTGACCACGACTACAAACCGATAATGATGACATTAGATATACCATCAATCAGATCCACATTGATGTATAATGATCTACTTTTTTTGTTTAAGCTTCATAATGATATGATTTCTGAGCCAGAGCTATTAAATCGTTTTCCAGTTTGGAATACAGGAAGAACCTTACGAAATAATGTTACGCTCTTTAACGTAGACATCCGATCAACCTTCTTATCTAACAGGTCAATAGTTAACAGACTAATGCCCGTTCGCACCGACATAAATAAGTACTACTTAGCTTTAAGTAGTTCTTAAAAGACGGGATTGATTTGCACCACAAGTTAAGTCGCGCTTAAGAATCGAAACAGATGCTTAACTTTAAGCACAGGATGTTCCTGACTTAAGCATTGCTTAAGCCTATCGTAACAATTTCGGCAGTAGTTCGGCATTTTTCGCCGTAAGAAAATAACATCGTTATAGTAAAGAGGTTATTATCATGTTACTATTAAATAATAAAATAAACAATATAATAATTATTAAATTAAATTATCATTAAATGGAAGTTGGTGTGTGTTATCATTTATGTTATTGTATTGCAATGTACGGATTATTTACATTCCAAGAGTAGTAATTAGTATCTGATGATATATTAGAAATTTGAAAATGTACACAATTTAACTGGAGTAGTGATAAGAACGCCAATAGCTAATCATTAGTAATAGAAGGTGAACTAATAATATACAATAATAGTACGTTTTATCAGAAGTTTGGTTTTTATTGAAAATAAACACTTTTAGATTACACTTAAGAGTTCATTTTGGCAGTTGGCGTTAACAGTTAAACTCCTGTAGTACTGCTTTTAGTTGGAAAAGGTTTGTTTATACAAAATTCAGAAGAAAATTGTCTTTACACTATACCAATTACAACTAAAAATTGTTTCTAACACCATATCACTAATATATATACAAACTAAAACACAACAAAACACAAATAATTACAAAAACAAAAACGTATAACAGCAGAAAAAGGCGGCAAACAACACTTCACGACACCAGACGTTACTTAACGGCCACAATCAATTTGAAACTTCTTGACCATTCTGCACAAAAAACCCTACAAATTACTAAATTTTAGGGTTGTTTCCAAACTATCAACAACTAAGCACTACTTACTTAAGTTGCAGGTAGACAGCGTACGGTGCAAACGAATTGGAAGTTAAGTAAGACTTATGCTTAAGCAGTACTTTGTTAAGTCTGCCGTAGTAAAACGTCGGTGCAAACGGGCATAAGCAAACAATTTAATGATCTTGATCTAAATATAAAAAAACTCGCTACTGAATAGCCCGATAAAAGAATTTAAAACCGACATCCGGAAGAAAGTGTTTATTCTCTAGAACGCCACCAAATAACTTAGTATATCTATACTTTATCTCATTACTCGATTAGTTTAAATCTCTTATGTAAAAATTGTAAAAGGCGTGAGCCTGTATACTTAAATAAATAGTATTTTTTATGATCGTATGCTATTTTTCTTATGCAACCCATTTTACAAAATTTTTAAACGCTGCAACACCGCCATCTGCCAGGTCTAGTCTGCACTATTTTTGACAGGAGAGTTAGCACCGCATGGTCATAAACGGGGAATTCCCGGAAGTATAGATGTTGCCAGTCGCTACAAAATTTCATTAAAAGCAAAGTGATTCCGCGACTTCGTCACAAAATAAGTAATGATAAATTACGTGCTCCTTTCAATCGATCCGAATTTGTAGTTGCGATGAAAATATAAAATCGTTCAAATATTTACAAAATATTTTTTTATTTATTGTTAAACTTTGCCGCCCCACTATGCAACGCCACTGCATACAGGACTACTCTATTGTTATTTCTTCAGTTATTTTAATCTTTAGTTTTTTTTACATGTTTTGAAATGAGAGGTTTTTATGACCAAATGTATACACCAGCTAATATTTTACCTTCTGTGGTTACCGTAAAAAAGACGTTTTCTAAACATTTTTAAAAGGCTCATTCTTTTATTGATTTAAAAATATAAAGTTATATTTAGTTAATGTAAATGTTACTATAATTTTATCTTTGGATACACAAGTAGGTAACCAAAACATACTACACTTTTGACTAAGAAATATTACTCTCATAAAACATTATCAGACAGGAACATCAAACAGACTATACTTGAAACTATTATTTTTACCATTATAAGTGCAGTTCTAATAAGAGTTAAACTTCCATAATCCATTTGTCGTTCATTTATCAGTTATTGTATTTTTTCAATTTAAACCAGATAAATGCAACTAAATATTTCTCAAATATCACAATTCCACAAATACTCAAATTATTTGTTGGGCTCCATGTTTATTCGTTTTGGAAGAACTGTTTCAAATGCTTCTTTAAATGTTTTTCCCTCGCTTACTCTAAGAATAATTTCAAAAACTATTTAATGTTGGTAGTGAATTACTATTAAAAATTAGATTACCTTGATTTATAGTAAACACCTTTCTATACTTTATAGAAAAAAAATTTGAAATTGGTAGCTGTCCATGAGCTATTCCTTCTTTAACTGCTTTTCTATAACACAAACCCTAAAATAATCATAATATAATTACTACCTTTTCAAGTCTTTCATATTTAAGAAATCTTAACAAAAATACCTTATGTGCATTATGGTCAACTAAGCCACCAATTACATAAACCTTATTGTGATCTAGTTTTTCAATTATATTGTCGCTTTCACTGGTAAGATAAATTAGGTTTTCAATAGGAAATATATTTATATAACTTTCTTCACAAAAATTGATATCCCAATTTTCATAACCATTATGTTTTTCCATTTCAGTTTTAGATTTGCCATTGAAATTAGTTACATACAACTGCATAGGATTGGTTGCCCTTCGATTTTCAGTATACACCCGTAATACTTGTTTTATCAGTTTTGCTAAATCCTTATTAAGATAAAAGATTAAAATTAAGAAATGAAATTATAACAGTTACCTTGGGTATCATTAAATCATCAAAACTCAAATCTATAACCACTGAAATTTTACAATTGCTGTCAATCATTTTCTTCCTTTTCAATTCTTTTCTACTTGGGCCTAATGAAATATTGTTTATTTTTGCTTCAATTTTCCTTTTTCTCAGCTTTTCTCGCTCTTTCGCTCTTTTATCAGCTTTTCGTGCTTGCCATCGAAGCATTTTTTGATATTTTTTCATTTGAGATTTGCTTAGTTTTGTTATCTCTACCCCATTGAAAGTTTTCTCTTCACAAATCACTTGGTTATGACAATCTGCAAAATAAATGATTAACTTCTAAAAATTGTTAGAAAGTGAAAGACCACCATCAGAGCCTAATTTGTTGATCTTGTCAGTCAAAGATATTGGATTCGTTTCCATGATACCTCTAGTCCGACCGTGACCCGTGTTGATTATGGTGTTGTAGAGATAGAAAACTCACTACGCGAGTGTCTACCGAATATTTGCGATTGTTTAATAGTAATATAAACGTGTTATTGTTAAAATATGTAAGAAGTACTTCTGACTGTACAGATTATTTGAAGAATACTTGTAATTTTATTAGTGCAATCGTGCAATCATGGTTACCTGCAGGTTATGAAATGTAGACTGTCAGCGACACCTAAGCTTACCTCACGTAAGTTTATAAATTTTTGAAATTGCCAAAATCGGCATTACCGACATACATTTTAGTGAAACGACAACAGATGACGTAACGACGGTTGCGATTACCGGCGGAATTCCCCACTAGTTATAGCGTATACTGAGCAATAGTGAGTGTAGTTTCACAACTTGTATTATTTCAAAATTTTTGTGAGAAGTACTTTTACGTATCTTGAAAGTAAGTAATATATTAAGTACTTCAATCATGCTTTACTCAAAGTAATTATTTTCTGAAATAGTGCTGGTTAGAAAGGAAAGAGTGTTTCCTGTCCAACCGTGCTGTACAGTCTACACCATTATGGAGTCAAATTAAATTGAAATGTTCTACCTAGATTATACAGTTCGTGCAGGACTTAAAGGTCAAGATACCGCTTTCCATTTTCCAGAAGTAACAGTGGTTCCAACGAAAGTGACAGGCATTGTAATTTATTGTTGTGAAACTTAAGTTCTAAAAAAAATGTTTTGTAGAACTTCTTCAGGTAGAGGAATGGGGGCAGACGGAATTTCAAATATCTAAAACATATATACTTATTTGTTATAGAAAGTACACTCACAATGGACAATACAGTTCTTCTGTAGTTTCTTAAACGTTAGCACCTCCTGTAGAAGAAAGAAACAGTACTAAATTAGGTGAATACAATTTCTTTGTTCATACAAATATACCTGTCTAGTATCTATTATTTTAATTAATTGATGTTTTGCTATTTACTCGTATATTGTGCTAATTGTACTTATTACTGCATTTATACTTTGTTATTAAATTTGTTAATATTATTGTTGTTTTTTTTCTATTTCCAATTAAAACAAAAAAAAATTAAAATTTGGTGTAATCTTGAAATGCCTGCCTTAAGTTACGCTTCATAGTTTTATATATAGATGGCAGTGAATATTCGAAGTTTTCTTTACTAGTACCATTTATATATATATATATATTCCAAGTATCGTCTACTAATGTAGGGTAAACTTAGATGTCACTAGTATCGTCAAAATCTCGCGAGATTTACAACTATTTCTTAGTCTAGGGTACGTATACGTCTCTCTTCTCTGGCAGCTTGTGGTTGTTTTTCAACCCTAGATAAGAGAGGTTGATAGATGAATAACTGTGGCCGTTCTGAACAAACTTCTGCTACCAACCGCTAAAGGCGCACGTGTACCGGCGTGAGCAGTTGGTAGTAATGAAAAAGTAAGCAGCCAAGAGTTAACACAGGTGCAGCTCAGTACACGCGAAAAAAGTGAATCTTCTTAGGCGATTTGTATAACCTTATAACGAATATGTAATGATTGGTGAAAGAAAGAGAGAATACGAGAATTTTCAGGATTTATGTTTTTCAACATATTTTATCTTTAGTCCACCTAAGGAGTATTACTTTAATACGTTTTTATGTAATTCAGTAACAAAAAAATGGTCAAATTTTTTCACTTCCGTTTATTTTTCCAAGTGCTTAAGAAACCGTAAACTATCTATCAATAACTACAATGAATTAGAATTGATACATAATAATACTCACTCTTAAATGAATATTAATTGTTGTCAAATAAACATTTACTGTAATACACTTACTGTAATATAACTGCTGATATAGCCAATACATTAACTTAGCACTATAGTATAGTGAATATACATTATACTATAATCACAGACGTCTCTACTACAAGCCATGCTGAGAATCTTGGCAACAGCGCATTGCTTCCATGTGAGAGTTATACTCTACGAGTCTTACTTGTTATTACTACATGATTACTACACGTCGTTACACATGATTTTTATACACCCATTACGATAAAAATGAATTAAATTATTAAATAACTAACATTTGTTCATCACTGATGGCATGTGACGTTATTTAAAATACACTTCAACATATAGGTATTAAGAACAAAATAGAAAAGACAATAGATTAGGTAAATATTGATAGGTACCGTGAAACGGGGTGAAGTCGATCAAAAAACTCTGTTTTTCGAATATTTTACCGCTAATTTTACGAATCCAAATTCTGAAAAAAATTATTTATGTTCCTCAAACCTTCCCTATGTTATGTTGAGAACTCCAATGTAAAATATTCATTCACAGAAAAAATATTTTATGTTAATGTCGATCACCCTTTAAAAAGTGTGTAGAACGACTTCACTAACTTAATGGGGTGAAGTCGATCACCAAATATAATTTTTTTTTTCAAAGAAACAATTATTAATTTAAACAAATTCTTTATTTAAATCCAAAAACACATCTCATAAAGATTCTTTTTACAGAAATAAACTAACTTTCTATTCTACATTATAGTTTTCCAAATTATTAAAAATAAAACGCTGTCGTCTGCCTTCTTTTCCATCAACTTTGCAAATAATGCTACTCATAGGTGTTGTTTGCATGTCAGGGACATCAGGAAAGGTGAAATAATGTTGTTTATAGCTTATGTTCTTTCTAAGATACGATATTTCGAACTCATCGTCATTTTGTTTTGCGACAACGCGCCCAACAAACAATCTATACCTTTTGCTAGTGGGAAATTTTACCAACACAAAATCGCCAACATCAGCTGTATCATTTCTAGCATTACTACTTTCCACCGTATTCGCCCTTACAATGTCATCTTCCTGTTCCTGTTCGCTCTTATCATCGTCAAAATTATGGCATTCAATTCCATCCATCTTTTCTTCATCCATGTCTGCTTCTTCCCCTTCCTCTTCCTCACTTGAACTTAAAAAATCACTCACTACGACACCTTTCCCTGGAAGAATATTCAATCGCTTGCCTCGCTGTTGGCGCGTTGCGGTTGTTGCATTTGATCGACATAAGTTGAGATGTTCAATTAATGTTTCACTCCACCTTTGTCCAGCCTCTTCTTCAGCATGAACCTCTTCGGATGGCTTTGGCAACTTCTTCAACACTCTTTCTCTGTTTAAAGGGACTATTCCACATGCTGCAAATCCAGCAATCACATTGGTCGCTAAATTTATACCCACTTTGTCCAATGTTTTTTTTAACAAGGATGGAAATACACTTTTAGGCACAACTCCTCTATTCGATGCCTTCCATTCGTCTAGAACATTCCTCCAGGCTGCTTTTAAAGGCCGAAAAAAAGCAACATCCAGTGGTTGACAAATGTGAGTGGCATTCGGCGGCAGGAGAACAAACACGATGTTATTAACTTCACACGAACGTATCACATCTAACGAAAGATGACTAGACAGATTGTCGTCAATTATACAAGTTTTTCCATTCAGTTTTCGTACATAGGGTAATAATATCTTATCAAACCAATCCTGTAACATCTCCAAGTCGAACCAACCACTGCTATTTCGGTTATAGTCAGCACCATGGACACCACCTTCGGTCCATGTTGGGTATATGCGTTTTGATTTATACACTGTGTAAGGAGGTAAAACCTTCCCGTCCGCAGCTGCAGCGAACATTATGCTGATGCTAGTTTTAGACGAACCCATGATCCTTTCTGCATGTTTCACACCCCTTTTGATTATGACTTTAGTCTGCCCAGGATCATCCGTAAAATTCGTCTCATCGAAATTTATTACATTCATGAGCGGTACATCTTGTAGGGTGAGTTCCAGATAATCAAAATAATTATTAATTGCATTTCTGTCAACTCCTGCCCTTACACGCTTAACATTTTCACACATTCTTTCGGTGAGAATTGGATGCCGCTTGATAAATTTTAAAAACCAGTCCTTTCCCGGCTTATTATTTCGAAATCTTCTTCAGTACGGCCGCTTCGATTGAGATAATTTTGTACTAGGTTTCGGATATCTATCCTCTTTAGAGGAAATCTCCATTCGGCACATTTTGTTAGGCCTTCTACTAGAACAGTTTCGTCTACGTGGTTTAAACTGGTTGCCCACCATAACATTTTGGATGCCTTCTTTTTACCCGATCATTTAAAGCTGTATAGGGCACGGCATACTGTTCTGATGCCTTTCTGATAGACAACTGATTAGTCAAAACGGCCTTAGTAGCCTTCTGAAGGTACTCCTCGCTGTAATTCTTCTTTGCAGAAAAGCCCAGCACCTTCTTGTACACACGCGGCATTACTACAACCTGATCGAAATCACCCCTATCATATGCGAATTTGCAAACAATAAACAAATAACTTACCTCACAATGAAGTTACCTCAACAATGTATACAACTTTTAAGTGCCAACAATCCACGCACTTAAAATGTTTGAACCCCTTGGTAAAATCACTAACTTCTTGCTTTCGCCAAAAGTTTGTTTACAGCTTTGAAAAACTGCGCACATTCACAAGAGAAATGACAACTGACTTCGGTAACTTTTCAACGCATGGGAAGCTTAGGTAGATAGGTGCAACAGTTGTGCAAATCTATAGCTTCATGAACCCGGTAGTGCGAAAGTTTTACTATTTCTCAATAGACGGCAATACATGAATACAAATTATAATGCACCGTTGATCGAAATTACCCCACCTGATCGACTTCACCCCATTTGGCGGTACCTATATGAATTTCATCTCATTTTATTAAGGCATCACCATTGAGGTATTGTCAAAGCGCGTTACCTTTTTTGTAGGGTTCGCCAATAGCCCTGCCCTCCCATTCAAAAAAATTAATTACAATTTGAATTTTTCTAATTTACGGACTTTTGCTGTCTTACAGTTAGCTGAATTTGAATTGGAGTGGCGGGACTCTTGCATTCTATAATTTATAATTTTAACGTAATCATTAAGCAAAACATTAGCCAAAGAATATAAAATTTGGAAGAGTATAGCATTATAATGTTTTCCACAACTACATATTTTTGAAAATAGTTAATTTTCTTAAAATTGATTTTCGTTATTACTTATTTCTTCAAGAATGACATAAATGTGCAAAAAACTATACTAATCTTATCAGTAGGAACAGAAAGTACTCTCCTTTGTAAATAATCAAAATAAATATCTCCAACGCAAGAGTTTTTATTGTTTATTATGAGCGTAACACAATTGTTGCAAGTTATCTTTTTACGAGCAGAATGAACTGCATATCCTTAAATGTAAATTTTTAAGGAGTCATCTAAACCACAATTCATTAAATAATCGGAATTTAAAATTTCAATAAACTGACTTATGTTTAAGGGAGAATTTTCAACAATTTAAATTTCTATTTCATCATTCTCTGGTAATTTATGATATGTTAAAAGCACATTCAAAACATTACCGGCAGTGGATAATTTTTTTACTGTTTTTATAATGTCACTTTCGTTAAAGTGATGTATGTAGACTGCAGAATATTTTCATGAAGTCCAATCTTTGCGAGGTATAGCGCTTACGCATTTTTCTGGCATTTCATAATTTTTTTGGGAATAAAAATATAGACATACTTACATTTTAAAGATGATTTATAATTTGAATTGCAATTGGGCACACAACAACGACGAGGCATTTTGTTAAGAAATAAACAAGAAAATTTACAACTAAAACACACAATCTGGCCTAAAACATTTTCACTTCCTTCATGTAATAGTTAATATTACCTTCTGCAATTAAAAACTGTATCCAAAGATATTAATCACTAAAACACACTATAAGCATCCTTATTGCACATTAATTGCATGATATTTCCGCTAAAATTAAAATATAGAATAACGAAAGAAAGGGAAATCCTGGGACTCCTACAGTGTTATCAAATAAACCTTCAGCACGGTTTGTAAG